AGAACAAAAATCCAAGGGGTGTATGGATAAGTTCAGAGGTTCATATTGAGGCCTTATGCATGTTTGAACCTTGAAACATCAGCCTATTAGCCCAAAATTCCAAGTTTGATCACTTTTAATTTCATGTATTTTCTCAAAATTTCCTAACTTTCATCTATCATAACTCTCTTAATTTTTATCATTTGAAATTGATCTATAACTTTTTGGAAAGATAAAGACGTCCTCTATAATCTCTATGTTGACTATTTTTTCATTTGAAGACATTAACTTGATGTAAGTTGCCTTGACAAAAAGTATCTTTTTGTTGACTTTTGAAATGACCAATAATGTTTTGACCCATATATCTCAAATGAAGCATTTTTTGGACTTGAGCTTAGAGAGACAAAGTTGCAGAGAATTGAATTTACTTCAAAATGATATTTGGTTGAGAAAAATTTGATGAAGCATGTGAAAGTTATGCTTGGTCAAAGTTCAGCTGACTTCTCTTTAAGAAAACCCAACTTTGTAACTTTTGACTTTTGGTGAATTGGGAGTTTTCTTGACGAATCATGATCAACCCTTGATCAAATGATGAATGTGACTTCAAAATATTAATGTTGATAAAAAATCTTGAGGTTTGACTGTATGTTGATCATAATTGACTTTTGTCTAATATAGTTGACTTTTAGTCATCTGAGCAATTAACTGAGCAAACTTGTGATGCAAGACTTGAAATTTGGCATGAGAATTCCTTGAGACATGTGAGGAACCATGAAATCCACTTGAGGCATTAGAAGTCCAATTTCCCCTGGGAAAAACAAAACCCTAGTTGTAGGTCAATGCTTAGGAGGAGAATTTGTCTGATCAAACATTGAGTAGCCTTGAGAAATTTAAAACCTTAGGAGCATGAGGAGGTGTCTTGAAAAAAATGGGAGGGAAATTTCTGGGGTACAACAATTACAAATGGGTTTTCGGGCGAAAGCGAAATGAAAATAATGAAATTGTGAGATACAAAGCTCAACTCGTCGCTCAAGGATTTTCGCAAATACTTGGAATTGATTTTGATGAGACATACTCACATGTAATGGATGCAAGTACTTTTATATATTTAATAAGCCTTATAAAACATGAAGGGCTTAATTTGCACATGATGTATGTTATAACAACTTATTTGTATGGTTCACTTGATAGTGAAATTTACATGAAACTCCTTGAAGGGTTCAATGTACCAAATGCACATAATTCTAAATCTTAAGAAAACTACTCCATAAAATTGAACAGATCTCTCTATGGGTTGAAACAATCTCGACACATGTGGTATAACTATCTTAGTGAATATTTGCTTGGAGAGGGGTATACAAATAACTCCATTTGTTCTTGTATTTTTTAAAAAGATCAGGAAAAGAATTTGCAGTAATAGTTGTCTATGTTGATGATATAAATATAATTGGAACTTCTGAAGAGCTTCCAAAAGCTATGAATTGATCAAAGAAAGAGTTTGAGATGAAGGACCTAGGAAAGATAAAATTGTGTCTAGGTTTACAAATTGAGCATTTGGACAAATAAATATTTGTACATCAAGAAGGCTATATAGAAAAGGTGTTAAAATGCTTCTATATTGACAAATGACACTTGTTGTCTACTCCAATGGTTGTTAGATTATTAGATATAGAGAAAGATCCTTCCAGGCCTCGAGAAAAGGATGAAGAATTGCTTGGTCCTGAAGTATCATATCTCAGTGCGATTGGAGCGCTGATGTACCTTGCTAATTATACACCTGATATATCATTTGCGGCCAATCTATTAGCAAGATACAATTCTTCACCTACACGAAGACATTGGAACGAAGTCAAACATATACTTCGTTATCTTAAAGGTACAATAGACATGAGTCTATTTTATACCAAAGTATCCAAACTCGAATTAACAGGTTATACAGATGTAGGTTACTTGTCAGATTCTCATAATGGTAGATCACAAACAGGTTATTTGTTTATATGTGGTGGTACAACTATTTCATGGAGATCAGTGAAACAAACAATAACAACAACTTCATCCAATCATGCAGAACTTTTAGCACTACATGAGACAAGTCGAGAAAGCATTTGGTTGAGATCCTTAATCCAATACACACAAAATACTCGTGGTTTATCTTCAGGAAAAATAAATACAACGACCATATATGAAGATAATACTACATGCATCACTCAATTAAAAAATGGTTATATTAAAGGAGACCGAATAAAACATATCTCTCCAAAGTTCTTTTCACTCATGATCTTCAAAAGAACAATGTTACAAACATCCAACAAATCCGTTCATGTGACAATCTTGCAAACCTTTTCACAAAGTCACTCTCAAGTAGAACTTTTAATCAACTAATAAAAAGATTAGTCTTCATCCTCGAAAAAATAATCGTTCAGCTGAGAGGGAGAAATAAATTTATTTTAAAAAGGATATCGTACTCTTTTTCCTTCACTAGATTTTTTCCCACTGAGTTTTTTCTAGTAAGGTTTTAACGACATATATCTAAAACAAATATCTAAAGGAGACTGTTATGAATAATTGAATGATTTGTCTTCCAATAACTTCATTCCTTATTTAATTAATTTATATTTATTATATTGTCTATATGATGTCGTATAAATAGGATCAATTTCATTGTATGCAATTACACTATAAAATAATACAAAATCATTCTATCTTCTTCTCTTTTTTTTATTCATTATTTCTCTATATTTTATAACAATGATAAAGTTATTATATTTTTTTAATCTATATACAAAAATCTTAAATAACAGTTATTTTAAAACAAAATAAATATTACTCAAATTATTTAAAAACATCATTGTATAGAATTAATAAAAACAAACTAAAATCCTGAATTAAATTAACTAAAATTAAAATAATTGAATCATTATATTTAATTGAAAAATTAAAAGTATTATATTAGCTATTCTAAAATTGAATTAAATAATAAATAAATTGACTAAAGTTAAAACTAATTAAGACCAAAAATATATAAAAAAAACTAAAACTTACTTTAAATATTTTTATTAAAAGTTTTTGAAAAATATATAATTGTTCCGTTAGAAAAAACTATCTCTTAGGGTGTTTGTTATCAAATTATATGCTTTGAAATTATATTCCTTAGATTCATAATTTTAATTTGTGTGTTTGGATAAAATAAATTCTTCTGAAACTGTTTATAAATTTATTTAATTTAAAAATTATAAAAATTAAAAATAGTAATAATTTGTAAGTAGAAATAAGAAGTTAGTGATAATTAAATTTATTTTCATGTTAGATTCTAACTTTTTATATAAATAAAAAAAAATCATATGTAAATAAGATTTCTGAAAATAAAATATGTTTTGAAATAATTTTTTTAAATTTGAATCAAATATGAGAATTTATATTCTCATAGTCATATTTCTTAAAATATTTTTTACAATCTTAAAACACACATTTTTGATACTCAATATAGTGTAAACATTTTTTAAATAATATGTAAAATTAATAATTTTGATTCTACATAATTTTAAATAAATTAAAATTAAATTAAAATTATTTAATTCGAGTCGAATGATTTTTTAGTATTATTCAATTTTATTCGATTTTTTGGACGAAGTGTGCCATGAAAGCCTTACACATTTACACACAAAATTTAATTAAAATTTTTTTTTAAAGATAATATTAAAATAATGTAAAAAAAGGATTTGATGAAAAGAAAAAAAAAAGGAAAATAAAGTGTTAGAAAAAAAGAGGAAAGGAGAAAAGACATGGTAAAGTTATCGAAGGAGGCATATCGATCATCCAACAACGCAACAGCTGATAGGTTATTTTTGTTCGGACCACATAACGATGCGGTCCCCTCTTTTTCTATTCTTTCTTAAATTTCAAACTTGAAAGAAGAAAAAAACAGATATACTAATTCAAAATCCCGAATATACCCCTACCCTTCATTTTTCTTCCCGCGCTAGTAATAGAAAAATCCCAAATCATATGACGACAACTACCATCATCAATGTAAATGATACCCTCTCTTCCTTGGGCCCCACACCTTACTTCACTTTAAGAATCTAACTGTCCTCCATTACCCGCAAATCAATGTCTCTTATAAAATTTAAACTTTTTTTTTCTTTTTTTCTTTTTTTTCACTCTCCGGTAATTTAGCCAACACGCATCATTCAAATGTAGCCAAAAGTACATCATCTCAAATGTAGGAAAATGTAAGAAAATGATCTTTCAATTTAAATCAGTCTATAGTTATATAAAAACATCTGATATAATAACAAATTTATTTGATAGTTAATGTACACAAGAACATCGGTTGATCGTTATACAAAATTGTCTGATACTCAATTGATAGTTGTGGGAGTAAGAATATTAGTAGATAATTATCTAAAAACATCTTATGCAATGACATTTTCAGTTGATAAATTTGTAATTACAAGAATATGGTTTGAATATGCAAAATCTTACTCCTTCTATTTTAAAATAAATATTATTTAAAAAATTTTACATACAAATTAAACAATATAATAATATTATTATAAAATATTGATTTTTTTATTAAATTAAATTTATTAATATATTGAAAATCATATACAAACTAATAATTAAATAATATAATTGAAAAAATAACAAATATTAATACATTAAAAATGATAATAACATTCATTTATAAACAATTTTTTTCTTAAAAAGACATTCGTTTTAAACTGATGGAGTACTTATTTAGTTTTAGAAAATGTGAAATTCAATTTAAGTCCTTAAATTATTAATAAAAAATAAATCAAAAATATTTATTCCCAAAAACCATGCGGCTTAAACCCAAATTGTTTCACACTAGTATATATTAATTTAATTTTGATTTCCCCAAAAATATAATAAAAAATAAAAATCTTTTGCTTTCGGTGTATAAAAAAACCCTCACACTCTTGAAATATCACGTTTTGTACTTAACTCACTCTCAACTCATCTACTCTTTCACTCTACAACTCACTCGAGTAAAAAAAATGTCCAAAACCTTCCCCACTCAATCACCGCCGTTCACGGCGCTTCTGTCCGTCACTCTCATCCTTCTCACGCTGGTTCCAGTTTCCAGCTACCGTCCATGGCCCCCAAACCCCTCAAAAAACATAACCGACTACGCCCTCGGAGCCTCCAAGAAATACGAAGGCTCATCAGAGTTTGTTAAACTCCGCTACCACATGGGCCCCGTCTTAACCAACATCATAACCGTCCATACAATCTGGTACGGCACCTGGAAGCGGAACCAGAAAAAAATAATCCGCGAGTTCATAAACTCAATCTCCGCCAAAAACGCACCTCACCCCTCCGTTTCCGGTTGGTGGAAAACCGTCATGCTCTACACCGACCAAACCGGGTCCAACATCTCCAACACGGTTTACTTAGGCCAAGAAAAAAACGACCGGTTTTACTCCCACGGAAAATCGTTAACCAGATTATCTATTCAATCAGTTATCAAAAGTGCTATCACCGCCAAAACTAAACCGTTACCGATAAACTCACGAAGCGGTCTTTATCTTTTACTAACAGCCGATGACGTGTACGTTCAGGATTTCTGCACGTCAGCATGTGGTTTTCATTATTTCACTTTTCCTTCCCTTGTTGGTTACACTCTACCTTACGCTTGGGTTGGAAATAGTGAGAGATTCTGTGCGGGACAGTGTGCTTATCCCTTCGCTGTTCCGCAGTTTATACCTAACGTGAAACCGTTTAAGTCGCCTAACGGCGACATTGGAGTCGACGGAATGATAAGTGTTATTGGACATGAGATTGCTGAGCTGGCCAGTAATCCGTTAGCGAATGCTTGGTATGCTGGCGGCGATCCGAGTTTTCCGGTGGAGATAGCGGATTTGTGTGAGGGTATTTATGGAACGGGAGGTGGTGGATCTTATACAGGGCAGGTTTTGGACGGTCGAGATGGTGCCACGTATAATATGAATGGTATAAGGAGGAAATTTTTAGTGCAGTGGCTTTGGAGTCATGTTTTGAATTATTGTACTGGTCCTAATGCTCTTGATCACTGATTATCTTCATCACTGTATGCAGGAGAATGAAATCTTTTCATTTTTATTTTTAACCTTTTTTTTGTTAGTGTTCTGTTTTTTGGGTTGTTATGTGGTTTTGTGATTTTGGGGTGGTGGCTAGTTTGCTCTTGATGCAAATAATGTAGTAATTTTGGTTGAATATTATGATATATGATATAATTATAAAGCTTAGACATTTGTAGATACTTTAAGGTAATGAAGTTTTCATTCTGTTTTCATCCTGGCAAAAAAATTATTTGAAATAGTAAAAGAAAAAATTGTGAAGTTTTGTTTGGTTCGTTTCGGTTGACTTTTAAAATAAAATTGAATTAAATTTTAGTTTAGTTTTTTACTAATTTTTTACAAATATTTTATTGAACGATACAAATGCATATAGGTTTATTTTGTATTTTGACATTTATATATTATCATATAACAATAAAATTTATTATATTTTAACAATAATTTATTAAAAATTAGATTAGACAAATGAAATAATAAACATAAAATAATAACATAAAACAATATTAAAAATATTATAAAGAAAAAAATAAATAAAACAGACTAGAGATAGTGTGTCCAAATTGCCTTTAATTTGAAATCGGACTTTGGGGTTTATCTGACAGGTATTCACGGTGCAACATTAAAAATTATCTGAACTGCAAAAGAAAAAAATGCTTGATTTGATTTGTTTATGTTGATTTTTAAAAAATTAAATTAAACCAAACTAATACAGTTTAGTTCGGTTCGGTTGATTCGGTTTTCTACAAATATTTTATTGACATATATATATATATATATATATATATATATATATATATATATATATATATATATATATATATATATATATATATATATATATATATATATATATATATATATATATATATATATATATATATATATATATATATATATATATATATATATATATATATATATATATATATATATATATATATATATATATATATATATATAATTTTGTATTTAATCATTCATATACTATCAAATATATATTTGGACAACTTCACATTAAATACGTATGTAAAAATTAGATTAGACAAATGTGAAATAATAAATATAAGATAATAACATAAGACAATATCTAAAATATTATAATGAAACAAAAAAAATATAGAGATGAGAGATTAGTGAAAATGAAAAAGAAAGATGTATGACAAAAAAGACACCATAATGCTAGGAGAGATTTGAGAAGATTAAAACTTAAACAATAAATGTAAGGATGGGAAAATTATTTGTAATCATAAGACTAAGATATAATAGGTTTAGGTTTAGATGTGAGTTAAGTAAAATTTAGATTGTAATTGTTCTGGACTGGGCCTGTCCTTGGCCCTACTCCATGTGAGGCCCAACTCAATTATGTCGGTCAAAGCATACTGACCAGTTCTGCCCTTGACTGCGTTGGGCAGCAACTTCCGCTCTCCACAAGGAGGCAACCTCACTGCACGGGGAAAACCCAATTAGTCTTAGGAAGATCATCGTCGGTCAGGAAAACCTCGAGGTCACCCTCTGATCCTCTCCGCGACTAAGATTGATTCCCTCACACGACCTCGCGTCTAGCGGGGAACATCCACGACGAGCAGAAGTACCTCACGAGCATCCTCCTCGTAGGGATGACTATCAACGTCTCTGAATATCACGGAGTTTTCGTGGCCCCAGAAAGACCGCATCCATATCCTCCTGATCTTGCGGAGAAAGTTATCCAGGTGGAGGACCACGTGTTAGTCCCCACTACTCACGTAGGACATGGCAGTCTCCACTTTGGGCCTACATGACCAGCCTAATGAGGAGACCTTGGTCCACCGATGAGGGCTATAAATACCCTCTCTTTTGAGAGGGTCAGGTATTGAACATTTCTCACTCACTCTTGCTTGCTAGCTCATTCCAAATCTCACTTCGGCATCAGAGTGTCTTGCAGGTACCCCCACCTCACTCTCAAGTACTGCTCGACGTAAGTTGTGACTGTCTATTCTGGTCAGGTACGATCAGTGGCGCCGTCTGTGGGAAACACAACTTCCCTGAATGTCCATCCCACCGACGTCAACAACAACGTCGCCAACTACAACACCGACATCAACAACGCTGGTCCCGTTGGTCTCAATACCGGTAACAATAACAGCACCAGCAACAACAATATTGGCCATGATGTGGACATACCCAGTCCCTCAGAATATAGAGACGCGCCTCATCGTCATCATTGTCCCGACGACTCGAAGATAATCGTCGTCCTCTCCAGAACTATCAGCCGCCCGCATTTCAGGAGGTCCCCGTTCCTGCGGGTGCTGATGCCACGACCAGGGCACTGTTCGCGGCTATAAATCAAATAAACTACTTGATCTTTTTGCAAAGGGAGATATTAAGGGTGCTCGAAGATTCTCAAAGAGCTCCAGAAGACATAGAAGACCTGATTCTCCTCCTCCCTGTCAGATAGAGGACCGTCCCCAACCTCCCACGCGGAGGCGCAGACGGGATGCCTCTCGAAGCCCTTCTCACCGACGAATTGGTTGTTGGTTGCTATTGATCCTTTCAAAGAAGTGGTGTATTTTCTGAATCCGATAGATGGTGAATGGACAAATTATCCAGATATGAAGTTAATGATTGATACGTAAGTGAGATTGTTCTAAATATTCGTGTGTATTTGTATATTTAATTATTTCAGTGAGATTGTTCTAAATATATATTTTTATTTTGTTAGATTAATACAAGTATTCCGCTCTCAAAGAGAAGCTCGAGTATCACGGTCTAGATCAAGCAACATTACATGGATCAAAGTGGAGGTACATTAATTTTCACAATTTTGCTTATAATAGTGATGCTACTTGATAAAACAAGACAACCATACATTGTTATTTATTTTTCTATGTAGTGTGCTCAACAACGTAACATTATAGATTGTTGATACTTTGTTTTGTGGTTTATGAAAGAAATCATTCTTTTGAATCAAATAGAGATTCTAATCACGATATGGATTTATAACTTAAAATTTATTTTAATATTTATCGGATATTTCATATAATTTATTATTTTTAACTAAATTATGCATATTATGTTTTGTTATGTAGTACTTTGATGAATGCAAGTGTGCTCATTACACGAAAAATCAATTGGAAGAAATCAAGGAGGAATTGTGTGAATATTTTATTCAGAAAAGAATCATATAAGGTATTGGAAGTTGAAAAGTGTTATGAAATTTTTTAATTGTGTTGGACCCAAGTTAGTTTAATTGACCGTGTTGTTCTATTCATATATAAGCAGATTCGATTAGAAGGTTTTGTTGTACTTGAGTATTGAATTATAATGGTGTTTATATTTTGGTATATAATGCCTTTTGCATGTAAGGTGTTTATATTTTGTATGTAACGACTTCTTTGTTGAAATAAAGGGTCGTTGAAATGTAAGGCTTGAAGTACAGGTTTATAGGATTATTCCCAAAAATATGCCTTCTAAAAAAGAAAGAATACGCAACGTTTTTACATAAAAAATCATAAATTTACGTGAAGCAACGAAAGCGTTTTTTAGAAAAAAGCGCTGCTAAATGCCTACTTTAGAAAGCGTTTTTCCTAGAAAAGTGCTGTCTAAAGATGGCTTAAAAAAATACATTAGACAGCGCTTTTGAAAGCGTTGTCTAAAGGAGATCAATAGAAAGCGTTTTTTTCAGGAAAAAGCGCTGCTAGAAACCTACTTTAGAAAGCGCTTTTCCAAGGATAAACGCTGGTAAAAAAAAGCGTTGTCTATACCTACAGCAGCGCCACCATAGTGTTGGCTCCTAAATTTGACACCCTTGTTTTATTAATGTCAGCCATTAAAGCTGAAGGATGTTTTCGACTAGCTAGGTCTGTCGAAATGCCCATCGAAAGGTGGCAAGGTACTTAAAAGATTTCTTCTAAGGGAGAAGTTGGTTACCTTCGACGTCGAAGGAGTTTCTCGTCGAAGATGTTTCTCGACGAAGGTGTTCGATGGTTCAGAGTGGAGCAGTTTGAAATTCAAGCGTTTGGAGGGAAAACGGTTTCCAGCGGTTACCAAGTGCAACATGCAAAGATCTGGAGCGTCGAACGTTGAGAACGTGCCAAGTGGAATCATCTCGAAGCAGTGTAACTGCCCGACGGTTACTTGGGATGTTTTAGTATAAATAGTAGTAGTCATGTAGTTTCTCGCGTGTGTTCACAATTCTATACAAAGTCACTCATATAGATTCGAGTACCCAACGTGTGAGAAAGAATTGTTGAGAAATGTATGTGTGAAACACCAACTTTATTAATCAAAGTCATTTACTTTTCCAGAAATTTACTTGCTTTCTTCTTTACATTCCTGTCGAACCCTTTCATTTAAAGCCTTATTTATTTTACCAAGTCCTTTCTTCATGCAATTTATTTAAAGCCTCTTTATTTAAAGCCTTATCCAATTTAATCAAACTTCAAAATCAACCTATGTCCTAGGATCAATCTGATCGATCCTGCGAGTAACCAAATAAGTAACCATTTGGAGGATCAGCGGTTGTTTACCAAATCCCAAGGTAAACAAATTGGCACACCTGGTGGGACCGTGTGTTGATTGTTGAAAATAATCTCATCTTTTCGAGGAGTGTTGTATGTTATTGAGAAGTGGTAGAATATACACTAACGATAACAATACTGCCAGAAGAAGGGAAGAGATGGCGAATCCGCCAAACAATAACGAAATCCCACAAACGTATGTGGGAGCAACGGTTAGTACGACCGTAAGTGAAGCGACGACGGTTGGTTCGACACCGGCAGTAACGGTCACAGCAACGGGGCCAATACTTTCGTTCACGGGCCCCAGGATGCCTTTGGGAACTCCCCCACCAAGGGGAAATTTAGGCACAAGGCCTTTTGTTCCCCCAGGATTTATGCCACTCTATGGTATGCCAACTTCTGAAGTGGCTAGCCTGACGAATGCTGCATCCACCTTTTCAGACCCTTTAGTGAGTGCCTCTTCGCCACTCCAAGGTTCTG